GACGGGAGATTCCTCCCCGCCCCCCAGCGCCCCGCCCCGGGCTGGCCGAGGGAAACACCAGGCTGGTGCGCCCAGCAGGGGAAGGGCGTTATAGCTGATCCTGACCGGTTTGGGCTGGAATCTGTCAAGTGCTGGAGCTTCAGCTGCCCCTCCACCCCCTGTCCTGCTGCTGCTCCTGCCTTGGAGCTGCCCCCCTGGAAGCCTCCTTGCTGTGCAGGGTGTGGGAGGGAGCAGGGGGGCACTGATGGCGGGGTGTCCCGTCTCCCCACTTCTGTACCTTATCTCCACACGGAGAGAAGGGGCCGGCAGGAGCTTGGCAATGCAAATCTGACACTGTCACACTGTGTGGGTCTGTGTCAGTCTCACAAACACCAACTGTCCTCTCATCTCCTGACCTAACATATACGTGGAGGGTGGGTGTTACTGCTTTTACTGCTTGCAAAGTGTGTTAGTTTTGGGTTTTGCAAAGTGTGTTAGTTTTGGGTTTTGACTGGTCTGTGCAGTTCATAATGTTCATTTCTCTCTTATGCTTAAATTTAATTCTTTGAGGAGGGAGTTCTAACATGTCTAACCTGGTGTGGCTGGGCTAATTATCCCTATGGTGTAATTGCTGTTCCTGGAAGTGTTTGACATGTCCTTGCAGCCCCTGAGAGGCAGAATAGGGGGTCTCCTTATGCTATCCTTGCCTGCAGACACCACTCCTGTAGCTCCCATTAATTAGTAATGAGGAACCATAGTCAGTAGAAGCTGTGGGCTCAGAGCCTATACAGGAAGGCAGCACATGGTGCCATGGAGCCATTGCTGTGCATGCCAGCTGCTTTGAGGAGCGGCGCAGTGCTAGAGCAGGAGTAAGCCTAACTTAACTCTGCTGCTCCACCACCTGGAAGCCCAGCCAGAGCCTGCTTCCTGAACCTCTGTTGTAGCCTTGAACCCCCTCCTGCACCCAACCTCCTGCCCCAGACATGAGTCCCCCTGATCCCAAACTCCTTCCCAGAGCTTGCACACTGAAACCCCTCCTGGACACCAATCCCTCACCCTGGGCTAAGCCCCGGAGCCCCTCCCACACTCCAAACTCATTGGCCCAAGATCAGAGCCTGCACCCCTACTCCATCCTGGTGAAAGTGAATGAGGATGGGGAACGAAGGGGGATGGAGTGAGCAGGGTGAAGCCTCGGAGAAGGGGTGGGGCAGGGCCTAAAAGAAGGGGTGGGAAGGAAGTAGGGCAAGGGTATTTGGGTTTGAGGTAGATCTTGCATTGCACTTAAATTGAAAAATTGATTCTGTGGTTAAAAAGGTTGGAGACCACTGGTGTAGCATACCCTAAGTTGGGGTAGAGAGCTTTATTTTTCCCCGTCAGGGGCCACTGGCTCAGAAAAATCAGGGGGCACTGATAAGGACACAAAAAAGCCCACCCCTCATTACTCACCTGCTCTCAATGAATGCAAGGTAGGAAGCCCCTCACTCACTCCCCCTCTCCCCCCCAAAAAAAGCCCAGCACTCCATCTCACATTTAACTCCACATGCACTGTGCTCCTGTCCTATGGGGGAAAGGGATGCTAAGTTTTGGGGCTTTCCCCTGCAGTGGGGCCAACTAGCCCTTGTGCTCTATCCCCTTGGCGGGGGAGGCAACACCTGGAATGGCCAGCCTGTGCTGTGGAGACTTCCTCTGGGCTAGATATAACTCACAGGCCATGGGTTTCCCACCCTGCCTTAAGTGAAAGCAATGAGCTTTGCAGAGGGATTGGAATACAAATAAGGATGCCTGGCATGATTCAGTGTAGGGGTGGGGAACCTTAGGCCTGGGGACCGGATACAGCCCCGGCTTGCCTGGATCTGGCCCCTGAACCTCAGGGCTCTCCCCCAGCATTGGGGAGCCTGCTTTGGTGCTCTAGCCCCCCGCTGCCCCACCATGGGACTGGAGCACACAAAATCTACTAGCCTAGTGCTTCCACCCTGCTCTGGAGTGCAAGGAGAATGTAGGGAGTGTCCATCTTAGTCAGGGGCCTGGTCAGTGAGGTGTTTTTTTTCTTACTTGTGTGCAACACCTCCCCCACCCCCCAACTGTTTTTTCTGTGGGTCAGCAGCCCCCAACCCAAAAAAGGTTCCCCACCCCGATATAGTGTTTAGTGAGGGCCAAATATGGGAGGAGGTTTTTTAAAAGGGGAGAAATGAAGACTGGGAGAATAAACAAAAAGAGAACTAAGAAGAACAAGGTGGAGGGCAATGGATGGTCAAATAGGTAAAGACTTAAATTTTGAGAGAGACGAGTTTGATCTTCATACAAAATCTGACTGGCAGTCTGTGTTAACATCAGGAAGGGATGATGTAGCCTTTTAATCAGTACAAAGTAGGGATATAAATGGTTTACCGATTCCGGTTAACCCATAGGAGCTGGAGCAACCCCTGTCTGGTGGGGCCTGGCCCATTCCTCGCTGCAGCTTACACACTGGTTTTCTGGGAGTGGGACTGGCAGCAGCCCTACTCCTGAGGAGGCTTCGCTGTGGGCTCTGCAGTATAAAGCTTATTTAAGCTTTATACTGCAGAGCCCGCAGCGTGTGTAACTGCTATGATTTTTAGTGATCACACAGTTAACATTTTTAAACACATTTTTACATCCCTAGTACAAAAGTTGTATAGACAACTAGGAGTCCTGTGGCTATATAACAGATTAGTGTTTAAGGTTCCCCAGGACTCCTTGTTTTTGCAGATACAGACTAACATGACTGTCCCTTTGAAAGTTGCATAGAATCACTGACTCTCTCCTCTTTAGAACAGAGGAGTTTAAATTAATCCAAGTGTCAAAGAACACTACGGGGCCTGAACCAGGATTTTGACATCAGAGACAGAGGGGAAGAACATATTACAGAAATATTACAGAGAGAGAACAGCAAGATTTGGCAAGCACCTTTATGTGAAGAGAGAAGGAAAAGCAAGAATCAGAGATGATCCAAGTTTGATGCAGTTTTCTATTTTAAAAACAATCAGAATAATTGTTTGAGTTGTATACACAGAGAAAAATGTTTGCAATTAAAAATGAATGTTACTTAGAAGCACAGTTAACTTGAGAATCTTGTTCACATGAAATCTGATAGATTTGATATTGGTAGCTAGAGCTACATACACTTTAAATATAATTCACACGCTTTTTTCAGAGTTATAACTTTAATTGCATTTTTTGTAGGTTTGGATTTGGAAAAGAACCAGTTTTAACCACTTTTGAGAAGAAATTATTTTGATCGCTTCACCAAAATGGTAGTCTTTACCTGCAGTGCATGTGGAGACTCTGTGAAGAAAGGACAGGTTGAAAAACATGTAAACATTTGCAGGAACTGCCAGTGCCTCTCTTGTATGGATTGTGGCAAAGATTTCTGGTATGTCAATGATTGTGTGCTAGGGCTTAACAGATCATAGAATCATAGAATACTAGGACCGGTACAAATACTGTCTAGACCATCCCTGATAGACATTTATCTAACCTCCTCTTTAATATCTCTACATAAGGAGATTCTACAACCTCCCTGGGCAATTTATTCCAGTGTTTGACTACCCTGACAGTTAGGAACTTTTTCCTAATGTCCAACCTAAACCTCCCTTGCTGCAGTTTAAGCCCATTGCTTCTTGTTCTATCCTCAGAGGCCAAGATGAACAAGTTTTCTCTCTCCTCTTTATGACACCCTTTTAGATATCTGAAAACTACTATCATGTCCCCCCTCAGTCTTCTCTTTTCTAAACTAAACAAACCCAATTCCTTAAGCCTTCCCTCATAGGTCATGTTCTCTAGACCTTTAATCATTCTCGTTGCTCCTCTCTTCCCTCTCCAATTTCTCCACATCTTTCTTGAAATGCGGTGCCCAGAACTGAACACAATATTCCAATTTAGGCCTAACCAGTGCAGAGTAGTGCGGAAGAATGACTTCTCGGGTCTTGCTCACAACTCACCTGTTAATGCATCCCAGAATCATGTTGCTTTCTTTGCAACAGCATCACACTGTTGACTCATATTCAGCTTGTGGTCCCCTATGACCCCTAGATTCCTTTCTGCTTCTGGTCCACTATGACCCTAGACTTCTTCCCAGACAGTCGCTTCCCATTCTGTATGTGTGAAACTGATTGTTCCTTCCTAAGTGGGGCACTTTGCATTTGTCTTTATTAAGCTTCATCCTATTTACCTCAGACAATTTCTCCAATTTGTCCAGGTCATTTTGAATTATGGCCCTATCCTCCAGATTAGTCGCAACCCCTCCCAGCTTGGTATCATCTGCAAACTTAATAAGCGTACTTTCTATACCAATATCTCAATCGTTGATGAAGATATTGAACAGAGCCTGTCCCAAAACAGACCACTGTGGAACCCCACTTGTTATGCCTTTCCAGCAGGATTGTGAACCATTAATAACTACTCTCTGAGTACGGTTATCCAGCCGGTTATGCACCCACCTTATAGTGGCCCCATCTAAGTTGTATTTACCTAGTTTATTGATAAGAATATTGTGAGACCGTATCAAACGCCTTACTAAAGTCTAAGTATACCACATCCACCACTTCTCCCTTATCCACAAGACTCGTTATCCTATTAAAGAAAGCTATCAGATTAGTTTGACATGATTTGTTCTTTACAAATCCATGCTGGCTGTTCCCTATCACCTTGCCACTTTCCAAGTGTTTACAGATGATTTCCTTAATTACTTGCTCCATTATCTTCCCTGGCACAGAAGTTAAACTAACTGGTCTGTAGTTTCCTGGATTGTTCTTATTTCCCTTTTTATAGATGGGCACTATATTTGCCCTTTTCCAGTCCTCTGGCATCTCTCCTGTCTCCCATGATTTTCCAAAGATGATAGCTAGAGACTCAGATACCTCCTCTATCAGCTCCTTGAGTATTCTAGGATGCATTTCATCAGGCCCTGGTGACTTGCAGGCATCTAACTTTTCTAGGTGATTTTTAACTTGTTCTTTTTTTATTTTACCTTCTAAAACTATTCCCTTCCCACTAGCATTCACTGTGTTAGGCATTCCTACAGACTTCTCGGTGAAGACCAAAACAAATAAGTCATTGAGCATCTCTGAATGTGTGAATGTTGCTGGTACCCGCAACACCAGCTCTTGCTCCCCCTCTTGCTGCCTCTGATGGACTCATATGGAGTCAGCAAGTGGGGGAGGGGGAGGGAGAGAAGTGACTAGTTGAGGGGCTAGTTGACTATCCAATAAGCTTTTTCTTATCAAATAGTCAATTAGCTGCTTACATCCCTGTTTCATAGAATTAGATGCTAAATTTGTGAAGTTGCCTCATTTGAGATACTGAATGTGATCTGTTAACGGTTTTGTTAATTGAAGTGGAACACTGTTTACAGAATTTAAGTGTGGCTTATTAATATTTAAGGGGTGATGATTATAAGAGCCATGTGAAATGTTTAAGCGAAGATCAGAAATATGGTGGCAAGGGTTATGAAGCCAAATCTAACAAAGGAGATGTTAAACAACAGGAGTGGATTCAGGTAATGCTTTAAATATATATATTTAATATTCTTTTTTATAACTTTATTTCAGAAAAATCTTGCATACTAAAAACAAGCATTCATATTGGAAACAAATGTATAGGTGTTTTATTTTAAATAACAATGCATGTTCTGAAAAATAGTCTGAAATGAAGAGAAGAGCAGACAAGCCTGACATTCTAACAATGCATCTCACCAGCTGAGCATCAGAACTTCAGTTTCTGTCTTTGCTCCTGGGATGAATATTGTAAATGTTAGCATGCTCTTCCCCTGCAGGTCATTTGTCTGTTCGTTGTGACCTGCTTGCTTGTTAGGAAGCTGAACTTGCTTCTTTCTCTAGTGGGGTGGGTATCATAAATTGAAGGAAAGGAGAGAAAAGTGACAACTAAAAACTGGTAAGAGGATTCTTGAGATTTCTAAGAGGGTTTTAGAGATCATTTTCTCTCACCCTTGAGAATAATGTAAATACAGAATTGTAAGTATTTATTTAAGTATATAAATAATCCTGTAGATTAGTCTGTGTATATACACGCAAATTAAAAAACAAGTATTGTAATAAGTAATATAAGCCTTGAACTGGATTTGTACCGTTGTTTTTTCCACATCTATAGCAACATCATTGACAAAGTTTCTGAACAATTCAAGTAACCAATCAAAAGTAAAGCAAGGGCTTGTCTATGGGAACATTTAATTCACAGCAATGTGAGGTGCGACTCTATCCAATTGTAACTTGCTGTATGTAAAGGGTATGACTACGTTGCACCTGGACATGTGCTAACAATAAGCAGCATAGCCTGAGCTGCTGCAGTCATCTACCAGAGTACAAGTCACACCTGCTGGGTATATACTCAAGCAGCCAGCCATGAAATGGGCAATCTTTTTGGCCTGAGGACCACATCAGGATATGAAAACTGTATGGAGGGCCATGAATGCACATGCAATTGAGGCTGGGGTGCAGGAGGGGATGAGGTACAGGCTCTGGGCATGAGAGGTTTGGGGTACAAGAAAGGCTTTGAGTTGGGACTGAAGAAGGGAGGGGGATTGAAGCTGATGCAGGGAGTTGGGGTGCAGGGGATGGGTACCTCTGGGGTGCCTTCTAGCCTGCACTTAAAGCTGCTCCTGAAAGCAGAAGCTTTATTCTCTTTTGGCCAGGTCCTACACAAAGGCACAACCATGTGGTTCTTTGCGCTCCTCCCTCATCCAAAGGTTCTGCCCCTGAAGAACCCATTGGCTGTGATTCCCAGCCAATGGTAGCTGTAGGAGCGGTGCTTGGAGTGGGGGCAGTGCACGGGGCCTTTTGGCTGCCCATACTAATAGAAACTGGAGGGAGGCACATGCTGCTGCTGCTTCCAAAAGCATTGTGAGGTTACGGCATACACAGATCGGAGTAAACCTCAGAGCCAGCTCCCCAGCAGGACCTCAAGAGCCAGATTAAAACAGTTGATGATCTGGATGTGTCCCATGGGCTATAATTTGACTATCCCTGAGCTGCTGTCCTTCTGAGAATGGCCATACTGCTGTTTTTAGTGTTCTGGGGAAGCACACCAGTTGAACTTCTCTAGTCTATCACCCTCGAGACCTCACCGGTGCCACACCAGAGAATTTGCCAACCCATAGGAGGTCAATATTGTCTAGCAGCATTACCAATACTCCTACTGCTTCTTGGGCTCTTTAGAAGAGATTTTGGGGGTAAATTAGAGCTAAATAACAGCACTGAACACCGAGAGCCAGGACTGGCATCTATAAACAAATTTTATGAGACCATCAGAAATTTGTTCACACCCATGATAAGTGGCCATCCAGCTAACTAAAATTATGCCTGACCACGGATATTGCCAGACTAGAGAGGTTCAATCTGTACAATGTAGACATATAGTCTTAAGTGTTTGTGTGGACCTTGCTGATACACACTAATGGTTCCTTAGTATGTGCTGATCTTCCTAGCTTTGCAGTAGGAGAAGATTTAAAGCACACTAAGGACATGTCTGTATTACCGAGAAAATCAATGCTGTGGCAGTCGTCTTCTGGTGTGCAATTTAGTGGGTCTAGTGCTGTATAATCTGTCTGACTACAAAGATAGCAAATAATAGACTGTGCTACATGGTTTGCAAGCATTTTTTACTCAAGGTGCTCTGTATTTCTCATCTCGCTTTGCATCTGACCTTTCTAATTAACTCTGTGCTTCCTTGACAAGTTATTTGGTTTCTTTCTTGCAGAAGATTCATGAAGTTATTAAAAAGCCTAACATTAGCCCCAAACTGAGAAACATCTTAGAGCAAATGCTCAACTATGACAATATTCCAAGAAAAAAGGGCAAATTTCAGGTATGATTTAAATAAAGCAAGTAATGGATTTGAAATTAGGATTTCAGGATTATAATCTCATACGTACCACTATCTTGTTACCTGAGACCAGTTGCTTACCCTGTCTGTACTTCTGTGTAATTTGGGAGGTAGACACAGGAGAATAACTGTAGCTGTCATATTAAATTCATATTTATAAAGCTTTAATCTTTGAATGGAAGGCCTTCTGTGTATGTAATTTTTTAATCTAAATTATTATTAGACATATTCAAGAATTTGGTAGGTTTGGAGTCTTGCAGGTGCAAACTTCCTCTCAGTAAGTCTGCCTGCATTTCAAAACCACACACTTTAATATTTTTCCACTTAGGGATGTGGAAGTTGGCAGAAACAACAAATATGACTGAAAAAATTACATTGATTGTTCTGCTAGATATCACTCATTCCAGAAATCTTAATTGTTTCTTAGGGCTCTGACTTACATTCCTCTAAATGGTACCTTATTGAGCTGCCTCTAGACCACTATGCCTGGTTCCATATCTTTTATATAGTATCCATAAAGAATAATAGACATGGCAAGGATGAGTGAGCATATTTCTTCTATTCCATGCTTCAGTTTATAAGGCTGACAAAAGACAGTACATATCTCTTTTATACGATTCAGGAAACAAACTGTGGTGAAACTTCTTGAGATACCATAACAGACATGAACATTTGAGTTACTTTCTAGGGAGCCAATGACTTTGCAGATTATTAATGCCATTACTATTCCTCCTCCCCTCATTTAAAAAAAAAATCTGTTTCTGCTGATTCTTCAGAATATCAAAATAAGCTTTTTGCTGCACTTTCCTCTTCAACAGGAACTTCTGACACTGCTCCAACAATTTTCTAAACAGATATATGTGAAACTTATTTGCATTTTAATACTCTGTGATAAAACTAAGGCAATGAAGCGTGCTCAATTGTTCCATATTTTAAATGACTTCATTGAGCCTGAATGTTATATCTCACTTAATAAACATTATGTAGTTTAATGGGATGCTAGTACATTTGGCAGTCCCTACTCAGAAGAGGCTTGGGACTGATTCTTGACCTGGACAAGAATTTTGGTCAGCTATTGAAGTGCTCAGTTAGAAGCACAGACGGTATATTAGATAGATGCAAAACAAATTACAGCAGTGGCACAATGGGGAGAATGAATCATTTGCCCACTAATCACTAATAGTAAGTGATCATATGTTGGAATTTTAAATAAATATTTGAAATTATTAATATAGGGAATCACCAAACACCAATTTAGCTATACATTCTCTTAATAAATCAAAAAGCCAAATGATTATTCATGGAGTTGCTCCAAACATGCCTAAACTAGCTAATTAACAAGCAATGTACTACATGCAAATAGCAACAAAACTTTTTTTTAAATCAAGATATTTACAAATGAGTTCAGCCCATATTGGTCAGCTCCAGCATGGTCAAGTAGGAATTAGTAACAAACTCTTTTTAAGAGTTCATTTTTTTTATACACTTTTTAACAAACAAGTAAACTGGTTTTTAGCTGAAATCTCCAATTAGGTACTGGCAATTCACCCTTATTTCCTGTCTTAGTCCAGATAAAATTTACAACCTCCTTTCTTCCCAAGGACTTTTTTCCTCTCCTTGTTGTCCAATAGTTTCTCCCATTGGACTTGACCTCACACTGAGGTTTTGGTTCGGAAGGGGACATTTTGGCTCATTTTAAGACAGATTATTTGATTTTTAAAATAGCAACACACTAGCAACACGCACATACCTATTTCCTTAACCAGACTTATCCTATGTATAGTTATCAAGTTAAAATATAATGCCTGCCACTTGTCTGTTTTCTTACTTTTTTTTTTTTTTTTTTGCACAGAATTGGATGGTGAACAACATGAATATTGGTAATTGTGCTCTGCAGGACCAGGTGTGGGATATTTTTTCTGAAGTAATCAGCAATGTAAGTCAAATCAAAACCACAAAATATTTCAGTAAGAATAGAATAGGGCAACAGGGTGGAGAATCTTCAAGACTCCTATTGGAGACACTAAGTGCAGTGTATTAGGGAAGAGTCATTCCCTGGTGCACAACAAAAAAATGAAAAGTATGAGACCAAATTCTTGCTAATTTATGGAGCAGTGTGTTGCTAATACAGTATAGCTTGGGTATGCATAATAATATCTGATGCTAAGCTATATATAGACATAGCATAATACTTATAGGAAGATTATGGGAAAACTTTTTATCCGAGGTGCTTTTTCTAGTAAGGAACAGTCAGTTCGCTTTCTGATCTTTACTACCCCAATCTGCTGTGAAATCTTTGTCCAGTAATATTTTTGCACATCTTTTTTTCCATTGCAGCTTAAAAGTGTGTATATTGTCTCATTACCCATCCATTGGAGTGTTTTTTATTAATTCATTTCATAAGCACAACTTTAAAAGTGGATATTTCTATTGAAAGAGTAATTCTGTTAAATATAAATAATATTTAATGTATTTTTAAGATTAATAATTCTGTTCCCAGACACGCAGCTTCATTAAGATGAATTTAAGGTTTAAAATATCCATAACTTAACTACATATTCCTGAGCTGTCTCCCAACCAAGTGTTCTAAATCCAGGAAATTCAGAGTCAAAAGATATCCAGACATTTTAAGGAACTTTAACTTTGTTAGTGATGTCATGCAATAACTGTCAGATTATGATTAAGGCATTTTACTGTTCATGGTTCCAGATATTTCTTCATATTTTTCCCTTTTGTGATAGCACTGCAGGGTAGTAGTAAATTTTGTTATTCTGAGTGAAAATGCTGTGTGTTTAAAGAAGATGAGCTCTAGTTTTCATACAAAATACAGTGGTGAATCCATGCTTGAGTGGAACTCAGCCTTGCTTATGGAATTGTAACCAGAAGCTCATAACAGTTTTTAAAAAGAACTTGTAACTGTTAGCCGGATGCTTCTAATTTCTGTTTAATATTCTGATTTGCTTACCTGTTGCCAACACCTTCTGTGTCTCATTCTTTACCTGTTCACTATTGTGTTGTAATTTAGCAACTATCCTTTTCCTGGACTTGCCTCATTGTTCTGTGCTGTTTGTGCTTGTGTGACGTTCATCGCACTCAGATCTGCGTGGAAATTTTTCTGTTGTATTGAAAAAATTAAGTTTATCATGTTGGAATTTTTTAAATTAATAAATTAATGTCCACTTCATCCTCCTAAACAAAATTAAGTGGAATAACAAAAGCATGCTTGGATTGTAAAATAAAATCTGAGATGGGGCAGTCAGACTACAATGCCTTGCTCTTCAATTGACATGCATTGTCTCCACAAACTAATGCTATTCTTTAATAACTGATAGACTTTATTTTATGAGCATAATATCTCCTGCATAAATAATGGAAGTATGTGAAAGATATTTCTATTATAATATTATTTTCTTTCAACAAAAGGGGCCAAGCAAAAAAGAACTAGAGAAACCACTGCAGAAAATAGAAAGCCAGCCTGTAAAAAGTGAAGTAAACCCATTGTCCACAGAAAAAAATGAAGTGACAGCTGATAAACTTGAGAGAAAAAAGAGTAAAAGAGAACGAAAAGAAGAAAGACAAAAGAATAGAAAGACAGAGAAAAAAGAAGTGAAATTAGAAAGCCTACGAGAGAACTCTGAAACTAAACAAGGCAAAAAGCCTAAGAAAAAAAAGGGATGTGCTGAGGATGAAAATGAGGAAACTTCCAACTGTAATAATGAGGAAAGGAAAAAAAAGAGAAAGCATGAGAAGACTAATACATCTCATCTGGAAATAAATGGAAATGGCCATTATAAGGAAGAAAAACAAACCAATACAAAAAAACAAAAACGCAAACATGCAGAAGGTATATATTTAGCTCATATTCCATGCAAGATAAGTTGTGTTTTGGTTTTTTTTCTTGAAAACTCAGTAACTTGCTTTGGTGGAACCTCTTTAACTTTTAAATATACTTGTAAGTTAAAAAAAAAAAGGGGGGGGGAGGGTATATAATGCAACTTAAAATAAAACATTCAAGTCTCACCTAATTCCAGAAACCTGGAAAAATCTTACAACAAACTCCAATGCCAAGAATAGAAACTTTTATTTATAATAAATTTTAGTAATTAAAATTTTAATATTTTTTCCTCATTAAATTTATTTCTGATCACTTCTTTTCCAGAAGAACCCAACACAGTAACAAAAAGAATGAAATACACAAAATCATCTGTGGCAACAGAAAATGAAGAAAGTGGGGATGCAGCCATTGAAACTGAAGAAAGTGGGGATGCAGATAAAGGTATCCTCAAACACAGTGGAAGTTTAGACATCTGTACTTTAGTAAGATAATGAGTCATTTCATAACACATAACTAAGTGCAGCTATTCATTTGAGCCTGATGATTAGTTTCCCTTGGTTTGTTCATTCATTTTTGCTGGCCATTCTCCTTGGCTCTTTTTTTTTTTTTTTGGCAGCCTCACACTGGCTGTTGGTTTCTGTGTTAACTTCTTGGTTGCCAGGCTAGCATGGGACTGTACACTCCATTACTGTTAGTTACAGTAACTAACCTGAGGAACAACTTGATCTTTGTGCCAGGGTAGTGATAGTGTTGTGGATACAATAATCAGCCAAGAATAAAGGAACCGGACAATGGTTGTGTGAACTGTTTTAGTTAGAACAGAAGATGAAAAGATAACCTAGAAATACAGAAAATATATAATACCATTATGTTTTCAACAATATTACAGGTAAATTCAACTGGAAGGGAACTATCAAAGCTGTTCTGAAGCAAGCCCCAAACCATGAAATTTCAATTAAAAAACTAAGAAAAAAGGTACAGTAGAACTTCAGTTTTTAAAACCCCTTTTAGTTTATGCAATAGTCTTTTTTTTAATTACCTATGTGAAAATATACAACTATTCTTCATAAACAAAGACTTTGAAATATATGTCATATCGTGTTGAATGTTAACTGGTTAAATAGTAAATCATATAAAGATTCAAAAAAATTTGATTTATGAAATTTATTCTGTGATTTAAATTTATATTTAGGGAGGTCCTTCCCTCCCAACCCTGCAAAACACCATGTAAGGACATATTGAAGTCTGCAATTTCAGCTCTGATTTATAGGTATTGAAAGATTTCTTGTTGGATTTAAGTTAAATGATATCATTGAATTGATACAAAATATGTATGCTGTTTAGTGTGAAATGTTTATGTAAAAAAGTGAAATATTTCCTGTTAATTTGAACTATTTTGTTTTGTTTTTTTTATGTAGGTTTTAGCTCAGTTTCATGCAGTAGTTGGTGAATATCATAAATCACAAGAGGATCTTCTGGTCATATTTAATAAGAAAGTGAACAACAATCCCAAATTCAAGGTTTTAAAGGACAGAGTTAAACTTATGAAATAGACTATGAATATTTTTATAATACTCAAATTTTATTTGCAGACTGTATCCAAATTCTCCTATGAAGTACGCAAACAGTTTTCACTGATTACAATATATACTGAATATATATTACAGCTTATTTAGTTGTAATTCTATTCCTGGATTTCCCAATCCTCCCCACCCCTTTTTTCCCCCCTATGTTCATATGTACAATTGAAAAATTGGGAATGGTTCCACATCTTGTTTCCAGACATTTTGATTTTACAGCAAATGTATATCTTTTGTAGAATTTTTAACAGAATGGAAAATTGCTGCCCAGTCTATTAAAATCCTTTTCATGGTACTGAAATTATGCAGGTGTGAATTTACTTATTAGGACCTGGAATGAATTGCACTTTTGCAGGAAGCAGTACAATTGCAAACATACATTAATACAACATTTAATAAAATATTTTCATTGTAAGAAACAAATGTTGGGGTCCAAATGCTACAGATCATACATACTAATATATTAGCATCCAATTTGCCATAAGAGGAATAATTGAGATTTTTCTGTTAAGTCACTATCCATTTAATGATGTTGAATTTCCTAATACACACTAAAAGAAAATACATATATTTATATACACAACATTTAATCAGTTCATATTTCAGTACCATAAATATTTGATTAGAAAGCAAGTAAAGCTATTTTTTGAGTGCTATTGCCTCAATGGATAATTTTACAATAAATACTGCTAAATTGGCATTGTTTTATTGGAAGTTTTTCCTAGTTTTATACATCTTTGTTTATGTGCTTTTAGAATCAGGAATAATGCACTAACTACAATTACAGGTACTGTAATTTTAAATTAGAAGGTGTAATAAATATTTCTGTTTCAGTAGTAAGGGACTTAGATGTTAGAAACGGGGTGGGGAATAAAATGAAATTTGTGTAGGGAGTTTTACTTGAAATAATAGAATAACATTTACTGCCACTATCTAGAAATACCTACAGGTTGAAACTCTCTTAACTGGGACTCTCTGATCCAGCAACATGTGTGGTCCATTAGGACCATGAATGTTCCAGAACCAGAAAGTCCTATTGGAGGGCTAGCGCCCAGGAGCACTGCAGGCTGGCAGAGCAGCAGAGCTTCCTGGCAGGGCTGTGAGAGCCCCATGTGCGGCAGAGGCTGCAGGGCTGCTCAGAACAGAAGTAGGAGCCAGGCTCTGCAGTGGAAACCCGGTGCACAGAGACAGTGGGGCTGTTGGGCGCTGGAACAGGAGCCTAGTGCATGCACAGGCAGCAAAGCTGCCTGGCACAGCAGTGGGAGCCAAGTGAGCAGAGGCAGTGGGGCTGCCTAGCAGAGCAGTGAGGGCTGACAGGGCAGCGGGGCCAGTAAGAGGGGGGAGCCAGCTGCGAGGGCAGTGATTGGGCCAGAGCTGGAGGGGACTGGCAGACGGAGCCAGAAATGACCAGCCCTGGTCCAGCAAAATCCCTCATCCAGGACTGGTTGGGTCCCAAGGATGCTGGACCAGGGAGGTCCAATCTGTACTACCATGGAATAGCAAAGAAAGTGGTGAAAACTGTTACTTGAAGCCATTTAAACTAGACTGAAGCCTATAAGATTTAAGGCTGACAGGATTCTCAGATGGCTTTAGGATCTTTGAGAAGCCATAAATTTTATTAAACACACAATTAAAATACATACACCCGCACAAAAAGTTCGTCTGCATCTGCAAAAGTATGAGGAGTCCTGTGGCACCTTAGAAACTGATAGATTTGTTAGAGCATAAACTTTTGCTCTAACTTGTTAGTCTCTAAGGTCCCACAGAACTCATTGTTTTTATAAGCTTATATAAATGTTTCACTTACTGATTTTAAAGCTGTAGCTATGAGTTTTAAGTGTCTGAATACTTGTCCCATTTCTTCAAATATTTTTACTTTGTTTGGATACAATATACTTTCAACTCATACACAAAATAAAGTTTAGATACTTTTGTCTTCACTGAAGAAGGGTAAATATTTCAGAAATGGATGATGGAAGTGATCAGAGACATGGAATTACTTCCATACAAGAAGCCATTTAAAAGATTGGGATGGTTTAGTTCAGAAAGTGACAAACGGAAGTGGTCGTGACACTGATATGCAAAATAATGAATAGATTAAAAAGGTAAAATCAGGCCTTTTATTTACTTCTCAACAAACATAAAGTAAGTTAATGAAATTGAACATAATAGGTTTACACAAATTGAATTCAAGAGTTTGATTTAAAATAGAATTATACCTGTATATGGATAATTAGAATATCCACAGCTACTGCATATAGAATTAAAAAATTCAGTGTGAGCTCAATTAGTGGTGCAAGTACCCAGCATCATTGAACATTATACAATGTCAAGGTGTAATCCTAAATATAGCTCTAACAGCCTTTGGGTTGAAAACTTGACTCACGACTCAGGAGGAAGTTTACTAAACCCAATCTATAAATTATTTGTTCTCCTTCGAGTCCCTGTGGGTGTTCCACTCATGCGTTGGTGCGTCTTTGTGTCAGTGATTGGAGGATTTTCCCCTACCAGTGCTTTCCCACGGCATGCATGTGTAGTTGTTGCCTTGTGGTGTTGTGTCCGTTAGCTGCGTGTGCGGCGCAAGTCCCTCCATTCCTTTTCATGTCATTGGCAGAAGACAGAGCTCCTCAACAGTGTGACCTGGATGTATGGCAAGCTGTGGTATTTTATCTGCACAGAACAAGACAATTCTGGACATTCCTAGACTTTTTATCTCTATACCACTGGGCCCTCTAAGGGGTCGGCAGTGTCAGCACCGTGAATATCTAAATGCATATCATCCTGTGTCCATACTGGCTACAAGTTTCGCAACAAGTGCCCATCCCCAAGGATCACGGCACATTCAACCCAAGCACTGGCAACATCTATGGCCTTAATCCGTAATGTTTCCCTCTTGGACATCTGCAGGGTGGCTAGTTGGTCCTCCCATCATACCTTTGCACAACACTGTGCATTACAACAGGGCCCAATTCCAGCTACATCTGTGGGCCTCGCTCTACTTGCTACCTCTAAGGCATGGCTCCAAAGCCCACCACTGTCTTCTGCAGATATTGCTCTATGGTCACCTGAGTGGAACATTCACAAAGACACCACTCAAAGGAGAAGTTACCTTGTGCAGTAACAGTGGTTCTTTGAGATGTGTGTTCCTGTGGTGCTCCTCTATCCTCCTTTCCTGGAAGGTTATTTTTATTCAAGGTACTTCCTTGTACTAAAAAAGAATGATGGTTGGTGATCCAGCCTAGATTTGAGGCTACTCAACACTTAAGCCCCAAATTCAAAATGGTGTCACTTGCCGTGAAAATTCCATCAATAGATCAAGAAGATTGGTTCTCTGCCTTTGACCTTCAGAATTCATATTTCCATGTTGCAATCTACCCACCTCTCAAATAATTCCTATCTTTTCTTGTTAGCCTGGAACACTTTCAGTACAGCGTGTTCCCTTTTGACATGTCATCTGTCTCAAGGGCCTTTTCAGAGATCGTATTAGTAGTAACAGCATAGCTCCACAGGAAAGATATTTTAGTCTTCCCTTACCTGGATGATTGGCTGCTGAAGGATTGCTTCCTAGAATCAAGTTCATGGGCAACTTTGTAGCCTTACATCTCTTCCTCATAGTGAGCCTACAATTGAACATTCAAAAATCCAATTTTACCCCTGTGCAAAACTTAAAATTAATTTCAACAACTTCCACTCCACAATCAACCTTAGCCTCGACCAGTCCATACAAGAGATCCACTTCCTTGACACTAAAGTACACTTAGATGATGGCCACACTACTCTATACTGGAAACCTACTGACTTTTTTATTCTCACCTACATGCCTCTAGTTTCTACCCAGGACACATCACATGATTAATTGTTTACAGCTAGGCTTTGATACAACCGGATTTGCTCCAATCCCACAAACAAGAGACAAACACCTAGAAAGTCTTTATCAGGCATTCTTAAAACTTAAATATCCACCTGAGGAAGCGAAGAAACAGATTGACAGAGCCAAACAATTACACAGGAATTTGCTTCTACCAGACAAGCCCAACAAGGAAAAGAAGACCACTAGATACCACCTATATCCCTGAGCTCAAACTCCTCTAGAGCATCATTGACAAATCTACAACCTATTCTGTAAAATGATCCCTCAGACTCACAGGTCTTGGGAGACAGGCTAGTCCTCACCTCCAGACAACCCCCTAACCTGAATTAACCTCATTGGGAAGTTTGAAAACCTTCAGGTAAACATGGGGCTAAATCTTCCTCTAAACATCAGAGGCAGCAGCAAGGGGGGCTGGGAGCAGGTGGCTGTGTGGGAGGCTTGAAAGCCAGCTACCTCCAGAGTACTGGTTCCCTTCCCTCACCCTCCATGCTGCTGCCTCTGTAGTAGGCATTGGGGGTTGAGGGGCAGGTAGCTCTGTGGAAGCCGGCACATGCAGAGAGCCAGCTTAAAAGCTGGCTTCCCACACGTACCTAGCTCCTGCCTGCCCCCCCTTCCCCTCCCCCGCCCACTCTGCTGCTTCGGATTAGAGGAAGACTTAGCCCTATGCTTTCCTGAATGCTTTCAAATTTCCTGACGGCCCCACCATGAGGTCAACAGGGTGATCCCACCAGCACTGCAGTCGGACATGCTAGCAGGAGGTTGAATCAGACTGATATATGGAAGGGGTTCTCTGGCATGCACTTGTGTGTGGTCTCATGACCATCTCCATGAGATACTTGCACAGATGAAGAGCTCAGCCATCTTGGATTCAACTGGGAAATACAGTATCTCCCTGCAGTGTGAGCTTCTCCCAGGCAGTAGAGACCAAGTTGGCTGAGAAGGAACACAGTCCGGGTACACAGATTTTTGAAACCTGAGACCCTTGGCATAGTCCTGCACATTTTACTGTGATATTACATCTTAGATTACTAAATATTCATTTTAAAATGTGTTTTACCATTTATGCTGTTTATTATTTATACATGCCTTGAAAAAGTTAAATTAGACTAGTTTTTCTTCATTCAATTTCCCTTTATTGTTCTCCTCTGGCATTTGCTCAAATACTGAAACTTATCAGAATTCTTGAATCTCGTTTCTATTGTGACATGAGGCCCCAGTATGGAAAAATTTTGAGAACCACTGCAGGGGAGTATTTATTTTAAAAAAACAACAACATTTTGCTCACTTTTCTTTTAAATCAACACAGTCATGAGGTTTCTAATAACCTTTGATTTTCTTTTTCCAAAAAAATCTAAATGTTGGACTGTCAGCTTCTCATTATAACAAGCTAACATGGAGTACTAATGTAACAGGAAACTACGG